TGGGGGTTGAGACGATTTTCTTGCGGGGGGTGAGCAGATGTGGGATATTCCTGTTGGTGACGTAATCAAAATGCGGTCAGGGGAGGCAGAGCCTCATCTGTCATCATCATAAGAAAATAAATCTGACATAAAATGAATATTAATATGTAAACACTGATCTTTAGGTATGACTAATTGCGAACATTTTAATCCAAATGACTCAAATTGCATATTTTTGTTGAAATACAGGGTGAAACGTGAGGTGCGGCAGCAACCAGCCGAGCCTCTGATTGTGCAATCCATCCCAAACTGGGCTGATACATGCAGATATATTAGTGTGTGTGTGCGTGTGACCAACAGGTTCCAATGCAGAGTCTCTCTATAGATGTGACTGTAAAGATCCGAAGCGCATTTCGAAGAAACCTTCTCCATTTTGTCATCCCATCTGTGTCTTTTTAAGGAAAATCTGGAGTAATTTGCAAGGCTGTAACCGAACTAAACGTACTCTTGAACTACTACTACTACTCACAGAACACTTTCTATTCTAAACATAGTGTTATGTCTTTATATGTCATATTTGGTTAAAAACAGGTTCCGAAACAGAAATGACAAAGTTAACTTAATTGCTGTCGATCAGTGCTAAGAAATTCCACAGCCAGTGGGCTGCAAAGACAAAGGGGCGAGTTCACCAATGTATATAAAGGCTGCTTGATTTGTGTCTCAGAACTAGAAAAATGCTTTTCATTCCTGTACATCCACCACGTTTCGTCTTATTTCAGGGATGAAAACTGAGCCACTGTGAGCAGAAATGCGCGTCATTTCAGCCTGAATCTGCCTTCTGAGGGGAAATGTGCTGCTTTCAGAAATCCAAAACTATGGAAGCGTTTCTGTACCGTAATTCAAATGAAAAAGCATGAACATAAATCTTTTTTTTCATTTTCACAATATAGCTGTGTTTTCTGCCTCCTGAATAAAACGATTAATGATGAATCTAAACTGCGTTTCAACTTTCTTCATAAATAACATAAGCAACACAATTAAAATGATAGTGTCAGATTTGACTCCGTGTGGAGTCAAATACAGTTTCTGAATCGGATATTTAATTGAATTTGAAGTTGAGCAGATTTAAAGAGAATTTGGCTGCACACTGGACAGGGAAGAAGGAGCAAAGAAAAGTAAACCCAAAAAGAAGAAAGATGCTTTAGAGACCAGAGAAATTAGAAAGGTAACAATACATTTATTAAAAGATAGGTCGCAAAATTAGAAACATGACAAGAAACATTACCCTCTCCAACACACAGTACTGTGTGTCCCTTGTACAAAAATAACATCTAATTATTGTAGAGCGCACAGCTTGAAAAGAGAAGCCCTTTTCCCATCATCCCTTGCCCCATTTAAGTTCAAGCTGCCTATACGTATATCCCTAACTGCTTTTTTACTTTTTACACCAGTTTTTTATGCGGTGAGTTTCCTGGTGAGTGAAAGCTTCCTCTACCGGGACTCCAGGAGTTCTAAAAAAAAAAAACCTCACTGAATCAAGGAAGAGCTGAAAATCAGGAAACACTTTCTCCACTTTAACATTTCTGGCTCTCTTGGTGACCCGGATTAGCATTAACAGAAGCACCTTCCCTCCTGTGAACTCTGTGGATGTTCATGCTCTGAACCGGTTGTTGGCCTCAACGTTTTGTTTTCGTGGACAGGAACGGACCTTATGGCCCTTCATTCCACAGCCGTAGCACTTCATTCTTTCTGAGGAAGCACAAACAGCGTAACCAAAGTCATCCACTCTAAACTTCAATATTAAATTTAGCTCCTCACAGCCGTAAACACCTGCCTTCTGTCACGTCTGGTGTCTCGTCTCGTCTTGATTACCTATTGTGTACACCTGGGGTTTCCCTCCCTCATGTGTTTAAATAGTCCTCGTTTCCCCTTGTCTTGTGCGAGTGCGTTCTTGTCCTTTCGTCCGTCTTGTCCATCGTCACCCCCACGCCAGGTTTGTTTTGCCATAGTCTTTTGTTTTTGTCATAGTCACAGTTTTGCCACAGTTTTGTCATTCTTCACTTTGTTACTTTGTCACAGTCATAGTTTTGCCACTGTCTTGTTTGCTATTGCTTTGATACTTTGATCACAGTTTTCCACAGCTTTGATTTGTACTTTGTCTGGACATTTACTCTGTTTTTGTACAATAAACCTTGTTTCCCCTCATCTCCGCACCTGAGTCCTCCCTTCAACACCCACCTTCATGACACCTTCTAAAGGAAACAACATATTTAAGGTGGTGATTTATAGAGGGATCGGTTTAATGGGTGACGTGAGCTGCCCGTGCCTCTCCTGTTCTCTTTGTAGCGTTTCGTTACAAATAAACTGATAAACGGAGGAACTTGGGACAAGATGATCTTTTGGGCCGGATTAACGGGGGGCACCAGCTGTGCAAAGGTGTCCTGAATAGCCACACCTTGCTCTACAACCATGCTGACTTTGTCAA